AGAGCTCCCGTGCACGCACGGGGAGCAAGAACTCGGGGGGGGGGCTGCACGACCTACAACAGCTGTCAACGACACCTAACACGTGACGACTCATAAATAGATTTAAAACCGCGCTGCGCACGCGCACGGGGTCGACGGGGACGGCCGTGGCAGCTTCAGTTTGCGGCCCAGTACCCGGTGATGTTGTGCGGCTTCCCCGGCGGGATCTTTGGCGGCCCGGCGGCCTGGCTCGGACGCTGCGACGAAAAACGGACGCCGAGTCCTGCTGCATGTGGTGACCGTACAGCGCCATCTGGGGGTGTTGTTGGGCGAGCATCTGTCCGAAGGACGCGGCTCACTTCAACTGCAAACTCAGAGCTGCCAACCTGTGATTCATGAAAATCGTAAGGCATCACTGTAACTGCCAACTGCAAGAGCAGATCATCGATGAGCAAGGAGCGAGGTGGCGCCACCAATGCATGCTAGTGAAGGGGAAGGAGCAAAGTGGCACCACTAAAGAGCTAGTGCAGAAGAAGAATAACAAAAGACGAAAAATAATAACATCATTCTCCAATCAGAAATCTGGGTCGCCATAGTTCTCTGTGACTGTCCAGCCGACTTCGACAACGCTGGCCGCATCACGTCAACGCTCAAACACAATCCGAACATTCGAGCAGAAGACATCCACGAATCCACCCACCACCACGAAAATAAAAATACGAGCGTACCTGTGCGCCAACCTTGCCGTAGGCGGACGCTGGGTTCATCTGGAGGTCGCAGCTGTTGGCAACCCCAGCGTGACCCGACGACGACCCCGCAGACTTGTTGGCGGACTGCGAGACGGCGGAGTAACCGGACGACTTGTAGTCCTGACCCTGCGTTAGATCGTCGTAACCTGCAGCAAATAAAATCAACGCATGTACCACGGCCGTAGTTTCTGGGGAGGAAAGACCCATGGCCTCGATTTTGGAGAAAAGGGGCGAATAAAAAGGGCGAATAAAAGCAAAACTATTGAATTATTAGCGTAAATTGTCGTCTAGACATTAGTGAAACCCATATCTCAGACCCAGGCTCGCTAAGATTAGGCATAGGAACTGGGTTCGTAGTTGCGTGTGAATGTGTGAGGGAATTACAACTAAATAGTACTTAGGCAGTACCTCGTTCGGTAGCCAGTCGGTGTGTACGTGCACTGGTTCGTACGTGCGAGTGAGTGTGCGTGCATCCGACACAGAAGAGCTTAGCCCATTCTGTAGATATACATGTGATGCGTAGCCAGCTAGTGTGTGTGCGTGTCCGCGCGTGCGTGCACGGCTATGTGCTTACTACTCAGGGTAGCTGTGTGATGCGTAACTGGACAGTGTGTGCGCGCGTTCGTACATGTGAGTGCATGAGCACGACACAGGACAACTAACCCATGATCCTGTATAGCTGTGTGTGGTGCATAGCCAGCCAGTGTGTGTGCGTACGCGTTTATGTGCTTACTATTCAGGGGGGTAGCATACCCGTTCCGTAGCTGTGTGATGCGTAGCCATGTAGCTAGTGTGTGTGTGCATGCGTGCATGGCTATGTGCTCACTACTCAGGGGGTAGCTTACCCGTTCCGTAGCTGTGTGATGCGTAGCCGGCCGGCTTCTGGAACTGCGCGCTCGAGCCCGCGCCGTGACTGTTGGCGGCGGGCGACACCATCGGCGCGCTGGCGGAGATCACGGGCGCACCGTACTGCGTGCAGCCGCTCGGCATCATGCTGCTGGCTGCTGCCGCCGCTGCCGCCGCGTAGTAGTACGGATAGCCAGGCGGCAGCGCCGCGTTGATGAACGGCTGCTGCTGCTGCTGTTGGTGATGCTGCTGCTGCTGCTGCTGCTGCGACATCGTCGTTGGCACGGGCGACGTGTTCTGGTCGCCGCGGCTCAGCTTCCCTTCGGCGCCTGAGTGACGGCACACAGTGTGAGTCGAACAATCCGAGAACGTGCGTGAAGGTTGAGAATAAGCGGTTCGGGACGTATTAATGCTAGGGGCACACGAGCGTTTTTATCGCCAAGCAGGACTCGGCGTCGTTTCGTCACAGCGTCGCGTGCCAGGCCGCCGGGCCGCCAAAGATCCCGCCGGGGAAGCCGTACAACATCACCGGTTACTGGGCCTCAAACTGAAGCTGCCACGGCCGTCCCTCTCGACCCCGTGCGCGTGCGCAGCGCGGTTTTAAATCTATTTATGAGTCGTCACGTGTTAGGTGTCGTTGACAGCTGTTGTAGGTCGTGCAGCCCCACCCCCTCCCGAGTTCTTGCTCCCCGTGCGTGCACGGGAGCTCTCTCGGATTGTGTCTGATGTTTTACAAATCTAGCGCACCATAGATTTGGTATGTTTCACCTTCGTGTATTACAGTGTACAAAATATTATCTGTTGACTGCTCGTATTATCTTCATACTTATATATATTGTGTAACGAAGGCTGTCCGCTTGGTGACCCCCAACCACTCACAGCCAACAAGGATGGATGACGGGGGTCGATTGGGAAGCGTGACGATGCTCCCCGCACCCCACCTCCCCATCCCAACGTATTTCTATCACAGCCAACATTAGCAGACGGATGAAGAAAAGCTCTATCCCGATTGTATAGCGTATGTATGTTGCGGCTCGTTACCCTGGCTAGGATACGTAGAGATACGTTGACGATGTGTTGTGTTGGTGATATTTTGTTGGTTTCTCCTAATGATGAACTTTGGTGAGACTTATCTGCGGCCGCGGGTCGATAACAATGCCTGATTAATTATTAATTGCTCGTGTCTCTTTTTAATCATCTGCCATTTGTCAAATACACTGCTGTACAAAGGTGTGTAGACATTATAGGTATTATGCTCTGAAAAAACCCCGTGCCGGGCAAGCAGTGACAGCAGGTTATTTTTTAAAAGTCTGTCTGTTTCTTGCGTCTAACAAAAGTCGTAATAGGGGCAATTACGCGTGCTTGTAAGCTATTATAGCGCAAGGTCAGCGTCTATGGAAAAACGTGTGGGAAAAATACTAGAACTCGTGTATAGATGTGTTTGGTTAGTAATTCCAGCATTAAGTTTTATGTCTTTCTTGTATTGTAAGTTTCTGCTTTTTATTTCTCGCTGCTGTCACAGCATACGTATAAACCATAATTATTATGATTCTGTAATAAAATGGAATTTGCCTGACATAGTTCACGTGTACAGCGTCTTTAGCTCTTCTCATGAATGACAGGTGTAGATTGTTGAACGGCATGAGTGTCTGTCCGTCCGTCCACCGTCAACAATATTGGACAATCTAGATGTGTCAGGGTTACAGAAGCCATCATCCTAGCAAAATTAGAGTGCACAGGTCAAAGGGCAGTTGAGAAAAGGCCAGTTAAGCAAAGGAGCTGCTTCAGAATATTTCAGACATGGTGAAAATAGGGTGAAATTTTTTTGGAACCTGTAAAATCGGTGACCTACCGTTTCATAATTGGAAATGTCCATAAAATATAAATTTCCACTCACATATGGCGAGTAGCTGTGCAGTAAAATTTGACCGTCCAAGAGGGTTGAAATATTGATTTGTTTACTCTCTGACTAAGAACTGAAATGCTTTGACTAAGCATGCTAGGGAGCCTCTATACTTGTATGGGTGTGAAAGGCTACAATTTCACAGTTAAATTTCTTAATTGAAGAAAATTTTAAGCTAATCAACGAGATTTATATCTTTAGGAGATGTAATAAATTCCATACCTCAGAACCTGTACTATAGATATCATCATACAGCACCCACCTGTGCCCTGTTTTTGCAATCATGCGTGCGCATTAATTCTCACCAGCTGCGTTTGCATCGTGGTCGACATTTACAGCACATTCACGTTACGCATTACCTGCAATTCTCAGATGAGCCTTGCTGCTCTGCAGCACTTTGGTAATCTACGGTACATTTGCGATTCCAGTTGCTGGCTCCGGACAGCTGTACGACGAGCATTGATTACACAGAGCGGGTCTAGGGATGTGACGAGTACACTAACGTTACTAACAAGTACTACTCAAATGTGTTGATTCAAATTTAAGTAGGGAGAACTTCCCGTAGTACAGGTAATTCAGGAAGGTCAACCAGTCATTTAATATTATTGTCACTTAAACCTAGCAAAAACACATGCACAAACTGACAACGCAGTAAGCAACGTCATTTGTATCTAGCTTCACTTATCAAACTTTATTCTTTTAGACATGTTAACAAAATACAACTGATATTATTTGCCATGCTCACTTGTCACACAGACAGACAAACAAAAACAGAAACTGAAAGTCAGTAACATGACCATCGATTAGTTTGAGGAAATTGATTGACGGCCGAGTGACACAGTTTGTACAACCAGGATTGCTATCTAGATATAAAACACTAGCATAGAGAGAGAACCCACAGCCTTCGCAGCACGACATGATAGCAATGTAGAGCACTCCTTCCACGTTTAAATAGTTTTCTAATCCCCGGTAGAAAGAAATCTGCGCGCGTTTATATAGCTTGTCGAGGTAATTTGCGAGGTCGGGGGATGCCTTGCCTTCAAGCCTTCCGTTTCCTCGAGTCGTTGACAAACCGTGCGTGGCTTTGAGCCCCTTCGAATGGATCTCGGGGAAGGATCTGCCAGGAATCGAACACGCACTGTGGGAACGTCTGTCCCCGTGTTAATCGCAGGTCCCGCCGTGAACCTGGCGCGTGGCCGGTCGCACTGACGCTCCGTCATTGAACAAATTGTACCTGAAAAATATCAACGCACTATTTGAGACACAAATAGGCGATTAACGTTGATAGCCGAAAAGCCTGAGTCAAGCCACGCAGTATCGCGCTTATTTAAATGCACGGGAGCTCGCATGCGATATGCATGGTTAGGTTTTCACCGAGTGCACTGCCTCACCAACGGTGTCTCAACCCACACAAATGCACGGAATATTTACGGACAACCAGAGCGTCACAGACGCTCCTTCGCCACTACCATAAATCTCACATTGTGTATTATTCGACAGGTCCACGAACGTAAATACTCGATAAAAAGTCAAGTTGCCTTTTAGCGTCCCAGCTCTTAGGAGAAAGGTTTTCCGCCTTTACACTACTTCAAATCGTCCCAATGGCCCGCAGAATCCCATAAACCCACTGCATACGCTCGGCGCTTTCAACCCCCGTGTCAGCGACTGTGAAAAGTGCATATCCAAATGACTCCATGACGAGGCAGGTACGCCTTCACGGACAAACATCGGTGCCTGGCACCTGTCCGCTCCTCAATGACGTGCCACGCCGTTGTTCAACACTCGTAGATGCCGCGATAGCTGACTGAGAGAGCCGGAGATTTTAGTATAACGCCGCAATCAACGCAGTCTACATCGTTTCTAGTAGTTATTAGATATCATATATAAATAATAGGGCACAATTTCGGGTACAATGAGACCGGTGTTCCTGATGCGAGAA